CCGTTTTCTCAGCATCTATAGGTGCTATAAGCAATCATTCGTCAACAGATTGATTTGGAGAGAATAAGTCGACATCTAACCCAGTTAAGATGAAGCTGTGGTATAATATAACCAGAACGATGTCGAGATATTTGTAAAACTCCGAACCATTGGTGTCTGCGGTGGGGACCGAACACGCCATTATATTTCACAAAATGCCCTGCCATGAAAAACGAGTAGGCAGTAAGTAAAAAGTGATGGAATTGTAATCTTTACCTAATAAATGTTGTACAAAATCGGCGTTACGAAGCTCCAACAATGTCCAGAATGTTTCGTACTGGATGGCTCACGTTTTTCGTTGAACAAAGTTTGTGTTGTCATCATTCCTGCTCGCATTTGCGTTCATAACGGCGTTATACAAATACATTCATATCAGTAAATATTATTGAACATTCGTATACTTGTTGCTATTTTGTTAATCATTAGGCAATTTCAACCGGCCCCAATCATCCTGCCCGCTCCTCTGTGTGGCTGCCAAAGCTGCTCGTTTGGCTTCTCCAACTTTCAGTCCATGAGAAACTTAGCAATTTTGCATGAGGCCTTTATTTTTTTTTCTTTCTAGCGAAACAGTCTTAATCTTAAGCAGGACCGTCAGATGCCAACGTCAAACTTGCCCGCTGTTAGCTTAGAAAATGCAAGTCCGTGCATATCCTGGTTTGACGAGCACCACGAAAACCACAACTATAGGATTAGAACAGGACTATTACATCAGTTCGATACAATACTTATTTGATAAGTATATGGCCATTTTAACCTTTATTTACTACTTACCACTTTCTTCATGCCAAAGACACGGGATCTCAATTGCGCTTCGATTGCCGAAGATTGCCGAAGAGGATAAAACGTGAACTTCCGGAAAGCCCAATCATTAAAGGTAAATGTAATGTTAGTAGATATCTGAAGCATCATTATGCTGATATCAAAGATCGTTCCTACTCGTATCTGACATTAGGTAAGTCGGATGTGAACCCAGAAATGGCTGAAGACCCAGATTCGGAAGGTTGCGTGGGATCAATCTGGAGATCCAACGAAATGAGCGCAGCTATAAAATGTTTAAAATGTGCGGACATAGAGAGGTCGGTGCTATCAAATGAAATACTCGCGAACACTCTACGACGTCAGCTGGTTCGTAACCGTTGTAGTTCATTCTCTTGTAAACCGTGCAGGAAGGAATACAATGGCGAAGCGGAAGAAATACAATCTAGGTGTCCGTTTAGAAGAACACGTAGACGGCAAGCGCAACGTTAAGCGAAGTACCCCACTAGGCACGCACAGGACACATAGACATGACGAGGAAGATTTTGAAGTGGAAGTTACCATCCTCGTACAGGAATCGAAAACCTCGGTGCGTAAAATCCTCGAAGCATTCTGGATAAATTCCAAGAAACCAAAAGTGAAGCGCGAAGAGCAAAGCCGTAATAGCATGAGAAGTCTAACACCACATCTGAGACTGATATTTTAACATGAGGGAAGCTCACTTGCCATCCATGTCAGCTCTTCACGGTTGGGAAATTTACACACTGGAAGCCCGATAGAAAGCGGTGAGTGTGTAAAGAAGCTGTTTTATATTCAGTGCGACCGAAAAATAGCTACAGTGGTTCCTGTATTGAGATTATAGAGGTATTTAGTTCACTAAGTTACACTCATTTCGAACTTTTGAGGTCTTGAAGAAAGCAAAACTTGCCGATACATAAGCCGCTATGAATAAATACTTTATAATAACGACCTATTGTATGTTTATCAAAAAAAAAAAAATAACAATAAAGTCTTTTCCCAGCATTCTCATCGAAAAGAAATGGAAGGAATAGTAAGCCAGGAGCGGGGTCGAAGCAGCGCCTTGCTTGTGATGAACAGCACCACCACTTTGCCACCTCCCTTCTGGGTAACACTGTGGATAGCACGTTTTGTTCCCTTAGGAGACTGTATTAAGGATGAAAACGATAAAGCTCTTGGCGTTGTTCAATCCATCAGAGAAGGGCCATGCATTCGACTTCATTAATCATCGCTTGGAGGTGATTGAATGCATAACTGGCCTTCGAGCCAGTGATGATATCCTCCCAGACAGGTCTGGTACCAGTTTGGCGAACTTGGTGGGCCATGGGCGCGGGGATCGATTCCACGTGTATGTTGTAGGGCGCCTCCGACCACTGCGCCACATGCGCTTATCATTATCCATGGAAGAGTGTATAAGTTAAAAAAATTGGTATAAGCCTGTTTGATGTCAAAGGCCCGTAGATGTTAGGTCAACAGCAGGAGCACCAGGAATCATGTGCGCCCGTGGTACGAGTTATCTAATGCATTTCGAGAAGGAACACTTGCTTGCATAACGTACTTTAATAGATATTTGACACATAGATATTCTGATGGCAAAGACGTTTTTAGTCATATTTGGTAACATAAAATCATTTTCAATTGCCACCGTTTCGATCTGCTTTTCGAATAATTTTAAATAGGATCTCTCAGAGATTCAGAATGTATAAACCACATAGAGCGATGAGATTTGCGAGAAGCGTTAGCATCGTGGTGACCATCAAACGTCAGTACTTCATTCGCCATACTTGTTGATGTTGTTCCACGGAACCCCCTCAAATGTGAACGACCTTGAGCTGGTTAGTATCCAGGGTGGTGCTAAGATATTTAAAGAGGAGTAGGGACGAAAATGTATTTGTGCTCATACGAGGGTGAATTTATGTGAAAACCTTGCTGTCTGTATCGCATCGATAGAACTAGACATTCTATCCCATATTCACGCACATGAATAGGTCTTCTCTCTTCTAGCGAATCGCACTACAGAAGTCGATCCTAGCGAAAACCCCGTATGGCGATTACAAAAGAATAGGAAGCAGATAGAAACTGATTTGGAATCGGTCGCCCTCAAAAAATCTTCTCTTTTCTCTACTTTGTTTTGCAGGAGCCCAAAAATCCATGGACAAGCATGGAAATCTAAAAGCGTTAACACACAAAAGCGTGCGTGAAAACCGCGCCTTTCAGATTACCGGTTTCCCACCGTACTTTAGTTCCCTAGTGAGTAGACCTCTCAACCCCTAATTACCACATTCGCTTTGACATTACTGCATTCACATAAACACTCCATTGCACGTATCTAGATCTAGAACTCATGCCAACCCTATCCTGCATTGTAACCAAAATAAGTAAGTCAACGCTATCCCGCACTGACAGCCAAAAAAATTAAAACTCACTATTACTTAGAGCTTGGACTGTGTTGATCCACCCGTTCATGAAAGGTCGATCAGCCGACGTGAATTGGCAACAACACATAGTCACCGAAGCTGTTTTTGAACAACACACACTGGTTTTCCGATTAGAAGAGCACTTAAACTGCCGAGATTTAGAAAGCTGCATAGAATAGACTCAATCGCGTCAATCACACATAAGGTTTTTATACAGCGTTGTTCCAAATTTAAATATTTTTGAAATTAGAACTTTCGAAAAACGGAATGCTTAATTTATTTCGCTTGCATGATTTTATTTTACATGGTCCGTCTTCACGTCCACCGTTCGGATCCCAGCACTTCTCACATTCGGTTCGTTTCCTCGCATCTACTACCAACGAAGATGTTCCAACTTTTACGTGTGGTTTCGGTTACTGCTTGAGAATTTTCATTTCATCTTGAATGTTATTGAAAGCTGATCGAGCAATTCTCCCTGGAGTCCTGAGATCGCCGTGCTGGAGCGTTCCCAATTGGATTGCAGAGAGTGATTTTCTTCCCAGAAAAGTCCGGTACCAATTTCAGACCCGGGAGGAAGGCTTGATCGGCCCGGAGCAGAACCGAACAAGCACCGTGCTCGTGACGATGGACATCACTACCACTGTGCTATCCGTCCTTAATATATACATATATATATACAAAGGAAAATATATATACATATATTTGTACAGGTAGGCACAAAGGACACACATATGCATATACACAAAGGATATATGAAATATATAGGCGGCATGTACATTTGCACATATGCCTATATAAACATATACATGCACATATACACGTACGCATACATACAGATATATATATATATATATATATATATATATATATGAAGGAGACAGCATCGTGGTAGTGACGTCCGTTACCACGAGCACGGTGCTAGTTCGATTCTGCTCTGGGCCAACCAAGCCTCCCGTCTCTCCCGGATCGGGAAATTGGTACCGAAGTTGTCTGTGAAAACATCACTCTCTGCAATCCAATTGGGAACGCTCCAGTCCAGCTATCTCAGGACGCCAGGGAGAATTGCTCAACCAGCATTCTACGACATTCAAGATGAAACGAAACCCTCAAGCAGCAACCGAAGCTACACGTAAAGTAAAAAGATCTTCGTGGACAATGGATGCGACGAAACGAATTGAATGTGAGAAGTGCTGGGATCCGCACAGTAGATTTGTAGACGGGTCAAATAAAAAAAATTAAAAAATACACATATACGTACATGTACGTATATATATACATATTTGTACGTATATATATATATATATACATATATATATGTACATATTATAAGGGGTGAGTGGGCTCGTGTTGCGTGGTGGTTAAAGGCGCCCTGCAATATACATGGGTGCGATCACCAAGCCTTTTATCTCTCCGGAGTCGGCAAATTGCTAACAGACTTGTCTGGCAGGATAGCAGCACTCACTCGATGCATCGGTAGGCCCCAGTGAGTCATTGTATAGAGCAGACATTCATTCGGTCTCTTTTAACAATACTTGATGAAGACGAAGGCAATTCTCAAGCAGAAACGAAACAGCATGCGAAATGTTCAAAGACCACTAGGGACGATGAATGCGAGGAAAGCGAATCGAATGGAAGAAATGCTGAGAAGCACATAGCAAATGTGATGGCGAACCATGTAAAAATACATATTTACACAAATATATATACATATAGTGGCGCAGTGGTTGGAGATGCCACTGCAACACACACGTGGAATCGATCTCCGTTCTCATGGCCTACCAAGCCTTCCATCTCTCCGGAGTCGGCAAATTGATGCGAGACTTATCTGGAAGAATAGCATCACGGGCTCGATACATCGGTAGGCTACCGCGAGTCATTGTAAAGGCCAGATGTGTATTTAATCACCTCCAACGATACTTAGTGAAGTCGAATGCATGGCACATCCCTCAGCGATTGATCAACGTCTAGAGCTTTATCCTTTATCCTTTAAATATCTAGATAGACGAACTGTCATTGATGGTTGGCGACGGTGACGACCACACGATCAAGTTCTCCTTGCTCTCCTCCTGTAGCCTTCCCAGCCTTTGCACTCTGACATCAAACACGCGTTGTAGTGGGCTGGATCGCCTCTTATTTTTCAACTGAAGAACCTCTCGTGGTATTGTTGTATTGCCAGTGAACCCTCTTACTTACTCGTTTAACTCTTTATGTGTTTTTTAATCAAGAAAAGGGGTCCGGTAACACCTGTCTGCAAGGTGATTCTTCACAGATAGTGCGTCCGTGTTCACCTTCATACATCTTTACAAACGTTACTCAGTTTCCCAATTGCTTGATTACTGTGATATAGGAATTTAAACTTATCCAACGGTTTACCGCCTCATTGTGGCTAGGAGGTTTTCCTGGGTAGATTACCTCCAGCAACTCTAATCCGCTCAGACATCCTGAACCGACCGTTCGGCGTTATCGATCGAAGAGGTCGCTGTTGTGCCCTATGGGTGCACTCTTCGATCGATCGGCTGCTGTAGGACGGCGTTCACGACTGCATTTCATTCCGTGTCTTGAAAGGTTATGAATCCTTCCAAACAAGTTATCTCATCGATCGTGCGGTTTGAATCTATGTCTGAGTAACAGTACGTTCAAGTGCTGCTTGTTCTGCAACCTGTTAATTCATGTTAGCTTCAGCAGATCGATCGAAGAATGCGGTGCGTCCCCACTTCGTTGTCATTATATCTTAAGTCAATCGGAAGATAGCTCATTTACCCCGTTCTTTTACTGTTACTTTATTCTTACTTTTACTTTTTCATTCTTTTTACTCTTTACTCTTTTATTGGTACTTCATCTTTACTTTTACTTTTATCTCGCTCTTTTACTGTGCGTTCGTTGCGTTAAGTTCCTAACTTCGATTCTTCTGCTTCAAACTCCATCATGGGCTATTCGTAGAGATTTCCTCAACGACGAAGTCCATTGGTAGAACGGCAGACCAGAATAGCGAGGAGTGCAGCTGCTGCTGTGATTTCACAGTGAGAATCCATTTCAGTAGCTGACGCGTCTGTGTGTTCAGTCGTTTCGTACTTCTTTCTCCCTCCTGTTTTCGATTCGTTTTCGTTTTCGGGTTATTTCGAAGTTTTTGCTGTTTGTTTACACTCCTCTGAGTAGATCATTAACTGAGAAGAACAGATTCTGTCGATCTCTGCATAAAAAGTATTTGGTTTCTCCCAGAATGAGTTTTATCCCCATTCAAGCTGTGCTATTTGGACGTGAGATTTCCTCGCGTCTTCTGGGGAAGGAAAGCCGGATGAAGACGGAATAAGGTCGACTTCAGAAAAAGGGAGCAAGGCAACTCTTGGTAAGGGTTTTGTCGAAAATCCTTACCTGATTGGGACTGTTTCTGTAGAAGTGGAAAACGCTAATTAAGACAAGTGTGCTGTGCGGAGCGCGCTTCCCGTCCATTACACCGCACCTGTTTCATTGGAAGAGAAAGTCATCTCTCCTGCACACTGCGTTGTCTGTAAGAGATGAAACAAAGATTTCGATGTCATTCAGTGGAGTAACAGGGGGAATGAGCGGGCGGATTGGTTACTGACTGGTTCGCATGCGAATCACCGCATGTGTTTGCATCGAATGAACTGGGGTTCATTTCCGGTGTGTTTGTTTCTGCTCCAACCTTCCTCCCGGCTAGAATGTCTGTCGGGATATGTTTTTCCTTTTGTTTCTGTCGCAGTCCATCCTTCTGTTTTCCTGGACGATGGTATGTGGGTCTTTTTTCGGCTTCTGTTGAGAACTTTCTTGATTGACATAAATACGAATCTATAAGTGGATTTTTTCAAAATCTGGACGTCATATAGTCGATTATGTGATATTTTTAACCTTTTTGTTTTAAAAGGTGTGGTTCTATCAGTTATGAGTTATCCATTAATTTTGTTGGTGTGAAAATAAGTAAACTGTCACTGGGTTGTACTTCCTACGAGATTTTCTGCTTTAACATCTTTACATCTTTAACATCTTTAACACGGAACAGAAATGCGGAATGAGGGCCTCAGTGGTGACCTTCGTAACACGTGAACTCTGGGAAGAGAAATCGCTGTTTGGTCTGGTCTGGAGTACAAGTTTTGCAAACATCTTAGCATCAATGTGGTTATATTTCAGATAATGTCCTACCATTCAAAAGTGATGGGCAATAAATAAAAATTGCAGATCTTTATCACAAGTAGTATACTGTTGTAGACCGACTTCCAGTTGATGATAAATGCACCTTAGTTCATTGATAAGTTAACACGAGGTTGTTACCAAACATTTATTCATCGATTCTGATGAAGACGAACACATCGAGACGTTGGATGAATAAATGCCTCATAACAAGCAGTATACTTTTGGTACGTATACCTACTTGGGTACTTGGATGACCCGTTCTCACTGGTTGTGCGGGCCCCAGCAAAATTTCCTTTTTCATCGGAGTTTTGCTAACCTAGCCATTGTGGTTCACGGGAGTCCCGTGGTCAACTTAGCCAACATCTGCCCTGGGTGGTTGTCTGTACAGGCAGTGGCCACCCTTGTGGATCAAAAGAGGATTCTCCACCATGAGACTATTTTGCTACCAGGATGGTGGTGGATCCTGGTATTTGTTTGCTCTTAGTTAGGCTTCTTAATAGAAGCACCGGTAATTTAGTTCGTACATTCCATGAAAAGGGCATCCTATGTTAAAATAAGTGAAAATAGTAAGCCTATTTTTAGAACTTCTATATAAACCGTTTTAGATGGACGCTATCCATTCGAATGCTGTCAGGGTGACCTTAAGCAAGAAGCTGTTTGGATTTATGATGTCATTGCAGACGATGGTCAAAAATGGTTATCAGTCCTTGTTCTTGGATAAGTTATGTGGATAATAAGTAGTAGAGAAGCTTTGAATTTGTCATTTATGGGAATTATAGAAGTGGTAGTTATCGTAGAAATTATTGAGTGAGATGGTTATTGAAGAATTTTTTTAGGCAATCAGTTCATCCACCGTGTTACTAGTAGTATTTGTCCCCTTCGTCTTTGAAAGCGTCAACTTTGTGTCCACTTGTACCTTCATCCTCTTATGCTCGTCTCTAATCCACAATTTCTTTAACATCATAGGATGGAATCGAAAGGTTTGAGGAGCAAAAATTTTGTTGCTTCGTTAGATATGACACAGTGTACAGTCATTTGTAGGTGCAGATCTGTAATTTTTCCAGTATTCTGAATCCTTTTAAGGTCATGGATGAACTGGAGTCTATGCAGAAAAAAATGGCTCAATTGGAGGCCGCTCTACAGAAGGCAGTCGTTGATAAGCATAAGGTGCTGCTGCTGTTTAAGTGCCTCCCTTTCGGTATTTCCAATTGCTTGAACTAGATTTTTTGAAAACGGATTAGTTCATTTGGATATTCTACCTCTTGACACCTTTGGTTGCATAGAGGTTGCAACAATGCAAGTTATCCAGTTCAGATGGAAGCAGAATAAATGATAACAAAAAGTATTCTTGTTGTATTTACCAATTGACATATTCAAAACAGCAAATTTTTCGATAGGTAGATTAATTAAAGAACCACAAGATTGGCAGGGTTCATTTTACCTCGGAGAAATTTCAAGACACGCCGGTAAGATAGGTAAATTACGCTAAAGGCATTCGGTGCCACCACTTTGTCCCGATGGATGAGATCTCGCTTGTGCGGTACCCTCGAGATGCCAAAAATCAACAGCAAAACAGGAAAAATGACGATTGCTGGGATCCAGAGATTTGGGGCTTTATTACGACGGTATAAGTAAGCTTTTGGCTTGTTAGCACGTGGATGTAACTCCTAACTGATTTCACTTCAAGAAATAAAGTTCACTGTAAGACGGGATTCTTTGGACGTTGAAGGAGAAGCCAATTTTTAGCTATGCACAAGTCAAATAGAGCTTGTTTGGCCATGGATGCGTTGTCTGTGTTGTGTTTAACTTTGCGTTCTGGTTTCACATTGCTTGTAATTCCCTTGATTACTATGTTTTAATGCTTTAGGAAGTGGAGGTTGGGCTTAGTCTTTTGCACGAAAGAGAGAATCTAAGATTGAAACTTGGTCGACTCCGAGCGAAGCTCCTTACGAGCAAAGTCGAAGCGAACCAAACCAATCAGGTATTTTTGACAAGAAGATATAATATACAGATGTCATTTATTTTATTTTTTTTTTTAAGATTGGTACCTTTAAGGAAGGCTGATGGCATCACCGTCTTTACAATTTTATTTGTGATTTTTGTTTAGTCACTGGTCTTGAGGAATCTAGTTTTAACTTGGTTAGGAGTTATTGCTGGAAGTGCGTCGTTCGTTCGCACAAAAGTGTCTTTTCAACAAAGCCTATGAAAGTGTGCTGGTAACGAGAATCGGTTTGCATCCTGTGTTGTGGTTAAAGATTCTTTCGAAGTTAATCAACTGTCACGATGAAACTGGATCAAACTAACTGAATACATGGATAAGGGAACTGCAATGTTTCCCGGAAAAAGTTTTTTGAACGCTGTTAATGGATACTTGCACGGCCTGTCCTAACTGGTTGTGCGGGGCCTAGCATATCTATTTTTTCGGAGTTTTGCTAGTCTAGCCATCATGTTTCTTTGGAGTCCCGAGGTCAGCCTGGCCAAAGTCTGGTCTATGCAATTAAGATGTTCAAAATCGAAGCGTGCTAGAGAAGCATTTTTGCTAAGCAAGTATTAGAAAATGGGCATTGTTTAATGGGATTCTGAGTAATTCTTCTCTTGTCTAGTATTTTAAAGGAACTACAACACCGTTGAGGTAGTACTAAGGTGAGTTCTGGTTACGATTCGGAAGCAGTACCTATTTGTAGGCTTGAAACGTATATTCATTCATAGCTAATGTTGGGTGGAATCCTGTCTAGATTCCTGTGTTACAGCTCAGTTTATTCTGCGCAGAATTTCGAAGGTAGAAAAAATTAGACTTTGTCTTCTGAGAGAGGTCAAACACTGAGGAGCTGTATTTCTACCCATTCTATTTTTTTGGCAACTGCAGTCGGCTGTGTTGGCCTATTGCATAAGTAATGACATCTACGTGATTTGGTTAACTTTGTGGAAAACGCAGGCAGCATTTTATACGAAGTGCTTCACGTTGACGTCACTAACCTCCTTTAAAGTTTCGCTTCACCAGTTTTCTCATTCCTGTGTCGTTGACTTTTTTTACAACTTACCTGGTTCAATGTAGGTGATTCTTCCTCTTATTCACGAGGTTCGTGAATATTTGATCACAAAGCCTACCTTCATGTTTATCTTTCTCTTGTGTCTCAAAAGGTATCGTTCAAGCGATCTCAATACCATTTGTAAACATATATCCTCCCTTTGACGTAATGATTCAAACGGACACCAGGAAAGTCCCTTTGTTCTTGTTGGATTCCAAAGTTATGCAGTGGGTTCTGTTCACTCGAAAGAATCGAAGAACACCTGTTCTGTTATAGACCTTCGCACAGTTCTTTGTCATTCTTATGATCGGTGGGTATCGTATTGTCATCCTGTGGATCAAAGTCATTGGTGGTTGTTGTTGTTGACTGCCACTTAATCTCACAGCTTATCGCTTACGTACTAAAGAAGCTGATCAGTACAGTTTGGTGTAGTGATCGTTCTAACAAACTCGGCACGACGTACACGCAATTACGCACACATACGCTCAGTTACGCATATCAGCGCTCAACTATTCGACGTCAACACAATTCTGCAACATCTCTGCTCAATGTGACAGTTTAGTGGACCTCAAAATAGGAAACTATTTCGAATTTAGTTCAATTTAAGTAAACCCGTGTGAATTTACGACGCAATGATGTCGACACTCTCCAGTTGTCATGATCTTTGATTAAAGCAAGCAACCTATTTTTGTCCATTTTTTTTCAAGATTGAAGCTACGGGAAGTCTTCAGCAAATGGAGTTTCAGTCAAGTTAATGGAAGTGTGATGAAGTCATCAGTCTGCGAAAACAATGAATAGCACGGAAGAAATTCGAAATTGAAACCGACATGAACAAAGTCCAAGGAACATTGGACAACTACAGCCAAACAACAGACCTCTCCATCCTGACGGTCCATCAATAGAAAATATCCCGAAAAGAGCTGAAACAAACAGAAAAATATTTGATCTGCTCGACAGGGCTCCAATCTATGTCATCTAAGTCTGAGCTTAACAATACGTTGGATTTCATGAAAAGCGATTATATGAAGTAGAGAAACTCCGGCGTACTAATGGAACATTTACTACTCCAACTTCGGAATTCAGCGAGCAAATACAGGATTGGGGAACGTTCGAAAACATAAAAGAAAAGAGGAAAGATGGCTACTGTGAACAGTCTAGTCCTCCACAGGTTAAGAAAACGAACGAATCACCAAAGGATGAGCACATAGCCGCACAACTATTCCAAGCGACGGCAACCGAACATGCCGAATATGCCCTCGTCGTTTGGAGCCATGATGATATCTAAAAGCGAAATCAGGATTTATCGATTTCCAATACGGAAGGTCGGGACAGTTAATTTCACTACGGCAAGAATAAGCTACCATTTGAAAAAAATCTAGAAGTTGGTGGAGTTTGAATCGAAAAAATGTCGGAAGGAGTCCAGCCGCCTACGAAATATGAGTAAAGACAGAATACAACTACTGTGAACAATATCATATATAACGAGTACTGAAGAAAAGCCAAAGAACGAGAACTGAGTTGCTTTTTATAAAAAGGACCGTGTTTTTCCTTAGCGTCCAGAAATAGTATTGTCAAATCTTTCCAAGTTGTCATCATGGATAGCTGTGTAATCTGTTCGATTCTTACATAGTCGTGCATTCCCTTTCCAAATGCGTTGCCATTCCAAGATAACGGTTTGCAGCCTAGTACTAACCAGTGTTGTTCTTTTTTAAGTTTTTTTTTTAGTTTAGCATTCTTATATTCATTTTTTAGTTTAGCATTCTTATATATATTCTTATATATGGATTTTTCTACCCGCTCTAGTCCTCAAAATTTCATTTTCATCTATATTATCGTGTTTTCTTTATTTTTTTTTTTAAACTTCACATCACGTATCAAGTTACACGATTCTCATTAATTCTTTACGTTGGATTCGTTTCCTCGCATCCACCATCAACGAAGGTCTTCCAACTTCTTGCATGTCTGTTCGACTGCCGCCTGAGAATTTTTGTCTTTGTGAAGAGTGCTGTAAATGTGGATCAAGGCGATTCACTGTGGAATCTTGGTATAGCCGAGCTAAGGCGTTTCCACGTAAACCGGAGGGAATAAGCTTGTTCCACACAATTATAGTGCCAGTTTCTCTACACTGGAGAAATGAGAGGCTTGATGGGATCTCTTAGGGGTCGAACTATTGCCTCTGTGGGTGGATCTTCCGCGTAATGAATGGCATACTATTGCACTACTCGGACCCTCATCTTGTTCAATACTTGGCATTGCTGATCTAAAACAGCAGAATTTTACCATGAAGCTGTTCATTCAATGGCTTAACTTCCAAATGAGTGATGAGCACGCTACCACATTTTTGAAGTAACTGTTTGGCTGCTGGTTAAAGAATAAATTTTCATTGTAGTCGTAAAAAATTTGCCCCATGCTGCTCTCAAGTACTCACCGAGTCGATTAGTGGGAAGTTTACCATCTTGCCACTACGTTTTACTCAAGGTAGAAGTGATTTCTGGCGATTTCCGACATTGTCCTTCTCTTGATTGGTCTTAGAGTTGAAAATATCGAATCATTGGATTTGGTGACACTAGCGTTAAATGAACACAATGTTGCATATCGCAGTTTGGCATCTAGGTTCAGGCATTCATAGCGGCGTTGTAAAATTCCGATGGAGATTTTCATCAGAATATAATATAGTGAGGATTACTCCCATATAGTGTTTGTGGCAAAAGAGCGGAATTTGCATATAATGACGTAAAATTTAAAAAAAAAACGTTGAGAAAAGTCTGGACAAAGAGTGGACGAATTCATAGGCTCTATACGAGAAGTAGATTGAAAGCAATCACTGTAATCCGACACCGTTTAATACGTCTATTCATGAGTTCTTCTTCTTATGGGCGTAATGATTATCACATAGATATTGCCTGAGGTTCGATCCCAACCTAAAGCGTCGTATCGAGGTGGACTCAAAAACAAGAAAGCACTGTTTGACGAAAGTTCAGATAAAGGGAATCTTCCCAGCCAGCGGGTAGCTCTTCTGGAGACGAACCTCCGAAATACAGAACAGGTATTGTTGAATCATTAATAGAATCATGCTTTAGCTAGATACAGTGACAGAGATAGTCTTTATCACTTTGTTCGGGAAAGAACAAATAAACAAAACATGTATACTGTTTTACTCCAGTATTCGATGTTAGTCTTTTCTTTTATCCTGTTAGTTTTGGACTTGTGTTTCACCTCGTCTTTCAGGATTCTGTACCAGGTGCTGTTCGTAATGGTAGTGGCAAGAACCATTTGTTCTCTGTGCTTGCAAGAGTGAAGCAGGAAGATTTGAAGGAAACATTTGAAGAGCATGATCATTCTAAAGTATGTTCACCACCTTTTTTATTTTACCTAATTTATTAACGCTAGGTCTAGAGTATTTTGTTAACTGCCGGGCAGTGCAGTACACCGGAGAAAAAATATTCCGATTTTTAAGCCCAGAAGAAAGTGGGCCAACGATTCAGTTAATGGGGAGCTATCGAATTTATCAGCGGAATCTGAGCCCATGGTTGCAAAGGTGCCGACTTGTGCTGATGATAGGCCGCCACTGAAGCCAATTTCTGCAGTAGAGAGAATGGTCGCAAGAATTGGTCGTGAAGAAGGGAAAGGTTTTGGAAAACTTAAGCAAGGTAATTACCAATTTAGTCATTTGTATTGTTCAGTGTGAAACATAATTTGATAGGGTCTATTTGCCGGCTAGTACGCAGTTTGATAACTGAGGTGAACGTATTCATTGTAAGCCTTACGTCAATTTTTTAATTTCTAACGCTCTGACGTTACACTATGTTGATCTGGTATTAAGATTTTTGCAATGTGTAGTAATAAAAAATGCAAGTAGATAGCTAGTAGGGAAGTTCATCGTTTAACGGAGTGGTACGAGGTCACCATCCTACGCCGATATCGCTTCCAACAATACAGACGATTTCTTGGATATGAAAACTCACTTATCCACTTGTCTAATTATGTGACTCGAAGATTTATTTATAGGCGTAACTGAACCAGTTACGTTATCCACTCAGCGTGAACGCGTTGGTCTTGGACATGTGATCGATAAAGTAAATGAGTTCCTTTAATGTTCTTCCACTTTAGGTTTTACTTAGTTAACTTATACATTTAGTCTGTGGATAGTGATCTGATAGAAATCTGGGATGAGTCAAAGGAGGAAAAAACTGTTCAAGAAAATGTATATTGGCTGCCTACATGTGAACGAGGCACTCGTGACTGGGTTGTAGACAATCTTGAACGATCCGATTGGATTCAGATAGGAGAGGTTGTTCATGCTTTTTATTCGTATGCGTTTTCTTTACCCTCTATATTTTAATTTGAGAGGAAATTCGCCGGCTTTCTTTTGATTTCTATGAAGTGCCAATGTCGAATGCTGAAACGTATTTCCAGAAGAAAACGAAAATAGACGATGAAACAGAGTTTTGTGATGGCAAAATTTTGCGAACAATGATTAAAGCTAAGGAGGTGCGTTGTTAAAAAATGTGTTTTCATAAGAGTTACCTTTTTCTCAGACTGTGTGCTTCAGGTGTTTAATGCGATTCCCGAGTGTGATTTGCGAGATGCACGGACTAGAGCTAATCCTTATGAAACGATCAGAGGAGCATTTTTTCAGAATCGATCTGCGATGAAAGTTGCTAATTTGGATAAAGTCTTTGGTTTTCTTTTAAGTGGAGAGACGGAGGAGAGTCTTTTGGTATGTCAGCAGAGTATAGTGGAAAGCTTCAGAGAACCCTATGTAGTGTTTCAGAGCAAAAATCCTCTGGTATCCGAAAGACCAAATTTCAACTGTGATCGAGACGCTCCTCTGTTTTACTTCGCTGATGTGTGCGGTGGTCCTGGTGGATTCTCAGAGTACATGTTATGGCGGAAAGCTTTCTGTAATGCGAAGGGATTTGGTTTCACACTTAAGGGTGACGAGTTATTAATATCTTATCCATGTCTTAACACTTTTCTTTTGCCAACTACAATATTTGGCTTCCACATCATGTTTTCGTGCTTTCATTTCTTTGTGAAGGAAAGGACGACTTCAATTTTGGGAGGTTTACGGCTTCTTCTGCATATTATTTGGAGCCTTACTATGGCAAGCACGGTGATGGTGACACTATGAATCCAGAAAATATAGACTCTTTTGAGAAATTTGTAATGAGAGGTAAGACGATGTTTAAAAGTGCTTTGCTGAAATATTTTTGGTGAGAACTACTCTACTATAAATGATGTCTTGAAATGATTTCCACCTAGTAGGATGTAGTATTTGGATTAGGGTAAGGTGTGTATGAGGGACTGCTGTGGTTTTATAGGGACCAACGGTGTTGGGGTAGATTTAATGATGGCCGACGGTGCTTACGGCTTGGAAGGAAGTGAAACTATACAGGTCTGTTCTTAATCGTGTTTATAGTGCGAGACAATCCACGTAAAAGAAAACCAGTGTGCCTATAATAGATCCATGGTAGAAGGAGAAGACCGTTAAAGCATTTACACGAAGTTTTAGAGTGGATGCTGTTGTATCTGCGCACCTTTTTGTGATTCCTGAACGTTGTAGATTTATTTTTTATAGCTTTTTAGTAGTTTTCTTGTATCATTTTCTTTTAGGAGATCGTTCTCAAACGTCTTTGTCTCTGTCAATTGTTAGTTTCTCTTTGTATTGTCCGCGAGAAGGGCACTTTTTTCTGCACTTTTTTCGACGTATTTACTCCATTCAGGTGTGGAGAACATAACTATGTGAATTTTAAGTTCATATGTCAACATAAGTAACCCGACTACCTTTCTTTTTGCAGTGCGGGGCTGATATATTTGATGAGTGTTGCGTATGATCAAGTGTCACTACATAAGCCTCACAGTAGTCGGCCAGCCAACTCCGAGAGGTAAAATACGTAGTCTTTTTCATTTTTGTTCCATCGTCATCATTCTTGATAGCAAAAAAGTAATTCAGGTACATCGTTTGTAAGGGTCTTCGTAAAAAATACTCCGGTGTCATAAGTGACTACCTCAAACGGTTGGTAGATTAGTGATTTTGCTTTAGTTCATTATTAACTCGTTAAAGACCAAAGTGAGGACATATTAGGGAGATAAAATTTGAACAAAGAAAGGATTAATGGGATATCTATTGTGGACGATTTGTAACGTACATCTATAGAACTTCTTTCTCAGGTCGTGTTTTGTTCACTTATATTTGATTCTCTGTTAAGGAAGGCTTTTTTTTTACCTGAATCGCTACAAACAATTACTTTTGACTATTTAATGATTAGCCGAATTGATGGCTCATGATGTGCTGTGAGTAGTAAAATTTAGGATCAATTTGAAGCTGGACGAGTTGGCTAAGGCTAATTCATCACAGGATGTTGTGAGCATAGTACCTTTAGAGATAATGCGAAGCGACGAGGCGTTTACGACCTATCTTAAAACACACAATGAAAGGTGTCGTGGTTATTACTTTATTTAAGCTGTCCATTGTAATAAATATTTAAAACATGGTTCTCCAGCGAGGAAATGGTGCAGGTTGTCATTATTTCATATAGTTTCATGTATCAAGAGGGCGTTAGATTACTTTCATTTCTCTTTGTTGGTACCCCAGTAGCCCCCATTGGTTCGGCGTACTGTAGAGAGTTGTTGACCACTGTATCTGTCTTCTCGGGCTTTTACGAAGATTTCTAATCATCGGGTCATCCTGCAGTATGCTCGGCATCCCGGGGAATCCAGCCGCCAACGGTTCTTGTCCATCGATTGTGGTCCATATGCATTAATGTCTGGCCCATCTAGTCTTCGACAGTTTTTTATATAGAACGACGTATTTAGTTTTTGATTGTTGACGTAAATCGCAGCTTCGAATCCTTACCCTCACTTAATACGGGATACTCTTAGTATCGTCCTTTCGACTGTATGTTAAATTACGCTGAGTGGTCTTTCATCCTGCTTACAGAACCGTCAGGTCTCTAGTGCATACATTAAGACAAGGAGAATCACGGAGTCAAAATGGTCATCATGGCGTCGAGTGTTCGTTGTTTTCCTCTCTACATCCTCATTGCAAAGGTAGTGTAATTGCCGACCAATTTTCACTCCCATGATATCTCCATCCAATGTTCGCAAAAGTTCTCGAGGATGACAGTAAATAGTTTTGACGAAATGATATCGCCTTGTTAATACGTTTTTAAGGCGATGTTAACACCATTGTAAAAGGTCATACCTTGGCTCTGGAATTCTATATGGCCTACGAAGTTTAGCATGCCGGATTTCGGAAGGAAGAAACAGGGGAATACATAATCATCTTCTTTTATTTCTTATGAATACAGGAGGATGTGAACATTGAGAAGATCTTAGTAGTAATCGTGAATGACATTTTGCATTGAATTTCTAAAAGTTGTACCTTTTCTCTCTGTTTGTGTACAACTGTTTTGATCTTGTAATCCCATGACTTTTTGTGGGCTTTGCGAATGCTTTCCCAGCTTCTGCAGCTTCGCCCATAACTGCTGTTCGTCTTTGTTTGAGATCTGCTTTTGTCACCTTTCTGCAGTCTTTAGCAAGTTAAGACGTCACTTGGCAGTTGCCAGTGGTTCGTTCGATTCCACGCCCATGTTGGCATATCAGCTCGAATGTTTCTGGAGACAGGGTTTTTTGTGACTTTCGAACTCAGCTTTCATAGCACTAACATTAAGACACTGAATTAGACGATCGTATTCCTCGCCGCTGTTATAAATAACAACACGGTCCTAAGGACCGACTAATGAACTACGTAAATCTCAGTCGATATTGGTTTACTGTCTTCATCTTCTGAAATTAGTGCCTTTTTCTCTTTTCTGCATGAAATAGAATCTTGCAGGAAGGAGGCGAAGAACTGATCTCGTGTAGAATTTTGGGACAAGAGCGACATCTGTTAGGCAAAATCTTAGATTTACTGTGATGTAGTCTGTTTCGTTATGTTACTCTCCACTGAGAGACTCACGCGTCTAGCGTTGATAGTGGGTTATCTGGAATAGTGAGTTATCATGGATGGTCTTCGTCTTCATGATAAATGTAGCCGCGCGTCCTGGTCGTTCTTTTATAATCTGTGCAGTCCAAATATGACGTTCTTCAGGTGTTTTTCTGAGTCTAATCTTAGTCTTCCATGATGACCTTAAAGAATTTATGGTCTTCTCTGTTGAACTTCTCCATGTCTATATGGGGCGGTTCGACTTCATTTTGACATAGCTCGATCGGTGCGTAGACAACGAAGATTGTGAAAGCAGGTATTGGTCTACATTTTCTCAACAGTAAACTTCCGGTCTGAGTTGTTAGTTGTTCGAATAAGTTGATCTTCATGGCCAATCTCATGTTGACGAGAATGCCAGCTTCTCCGACTCCTTTGTTATCGCGTTTTCCGAGGAACAGTTCTCAGGTAGCACTGACGGCGTTGAATAGGCAGTTAGAGTCAAGCCATAAACTCATCCATACTGCACCACAGATATCAACAAGAGTAGGCACAACAGGAATCCTATGGAGATAATTTGCATTTGAAGGATCATGGGTCATTTTCGATTGCAGACTATTTAATGCATTGTCGAAGTACATGTGAATATTGTATGATACTCGATGAACATTATAAAAATTAGGTGTATCGGTTGTGTTGAGACTGGAACCTCGTGCTTCACTGTATTTTCATAGTTTGTTATTCGTGAGTGGAGCACATGGTTCCTATATACTAGTTTATTTAATTAGTGATACATTGTTGTTTAGAATAGCAGTTCGTCAATCAACATATCTTTGGAAGTATCTATGCTACACCAAAAATAAATCGTTAGTAGATAAAGACCAAGTGAGCTTCATTTACATTTATATATATATGTATATATGTACATATCTGTATATTAGTAAAGATTGTTTCCGGAATTTTGTAGGTTTCGACACATGGCTTTCGGGTCTTTAATTTTGGCGCTGTTGTAAAACTTCAAACTTGGGTAAAATAGGTTTTAATATACATATCAAGAGTGTTATAACAATAGAGATTGGGTTCTGCTTACAAGATGTTTCAATTTTCTTCCACATCCATCCAGAAATCGTTGAATTGATAGGCAGCGGAGAGTATAGCTGGTAGGTACAGTTGGGGAAAAGATTGGAAAGCTGTTTAGATTAGTATGAAGGCTCTGTATACTAATAGAGAGAGTGAAGATACAGACTGTTAAGGGTATGATCATAAAAGTGTTCTGTAATATCCAAAAAGAGTTATTAAATACAGGCCGCTCTTCGTAGTGGTTGTCTGAAGTATTGGTTAGTTCCAAATAGAACACTCAATAGGAGAGGTGCGGAGCATCATCGAATACATCCGGACGAGTACTTGGGAAAGTTTGCTAAAAAGGTTTGCTACCTATGTATAAGTTTTCAGATTTCTGTAGTTAATAGTTCTATAGCCAAGTTTCTCTGATTCTGAAGTATGAGATCATGTTGTTACACTGTTTTGCCAACTTTCCTTGTTGAACTGACAGGAGGTTGTTAAGTCGTATTTTTAGTGTTAGATGGCTATTCCTAGGCCCTTAACACTCTCATGAACGGCGCCAGATTCTGCTTTTTTGCGGATTGGATGACGTCTGATTCTTCATGATGGTCATTATGACACCCCAGGATGCTACACCGGCCACCCCGGCAGCTTTTAGTTGGATCCACTGGTTTTTTGTGATTTCTGTGGCATAAGTTGGTTGTTCTCTGCATTTTGAAATTTTTGCGCTCCTGTTATCCTCTATGTTCTCCCCTTGTTTTCGGTGCGCATACAACTTCTCTGCAGAGAAAAAACACTTGTCCACTATGCAGTCGTGCTGCAGTAAACATTTAATAATGAAGTTCTAGAAAATCTTCAAAGAATAATGCTATGTTTACCTTTTAGTTTTGATCTTCCTATTCCTACAACAGCCGAAGGTCATCATAGAAACTGAAAAATAGAAAACATCGAATTACTCGTTGAAAATGATCCCGCACATTGCATGCGTTGCCAGATCCTCGAGCAAGAGAGAATTTCATCGGCTCTTTCGTTGGCCGCAATCTCTATGCCGTACACTTTCTTCAGCACCCATAGTCTCTCGCTGCAGAATGAGAAATTAAGTGAGAAGATGTTAAGACATGGCCTTACTCATTGCTTTATATAAGCTACCGATTGATTACAAGTATGGGAAACCAATTCTATATCTTGAAATAAACCACCGGGAACAAAATGAAACCAATATAGGTTAACTCGGCCACTCCACCTCATCTTGACACCGTATTGGGTTCACTCGTCTCGAGACTGTTAATGAAGCAATGTCGCCGAAACGTTAGCCATCGAACTTTAAAAATACTTGTCGACATTCTCCTCTCAATAACTCGAAAGACCGACTTTCTAGAAACCTCGGCATAGATAGTTGATATATTTATTTATGTGATCTTATAAACTGATCTTCTGAAGCTGACGCGAGGTTGGTACAGATATTCGTTGTCTTTGTCGTTGTTTTTGATGTTATTGATCGATGGCTGACGTTTCGTCGACTTCGCCTTCCTCAGAGCCGTGATGTTACGTGCGGGTCCCGAGGAAGGCGAAGTCGCCGAAACGTCAGCCATCGATCAATAACATCAAAAACAACGACAACGACAACGAAGATCTGTACCAACTTCGCGTCAGTTTAAGAAGATCAGTTTATAAGATCACATAAATAAATATTCTCCTCTTAGCTTGTCGAGAGGGTACGTCGTATTCTATAAGTTGGTCACTAATACCATGTCTGTTGAAAATCGCTCTTTCAAATCATGTCGTTGTATTTACATGTCTTAAATTTCCTAATTTGTGTGACTTTCAGATCTATAGTTGTGACGACTTTAATGCCAGGCTTCCACAGTTTACTGTGGAACTCTTAACACAGAGAGTATTCAAAGAACTGAAATATGCTGAATTTTCTCTAAATATTTTATCAAATAGAGCAACCACTAAGCCCGAGCTGCTCATCTCAACAGGGGTATTTAAGTGGTTCATGTTTTTAGTATATCATACTGTTATGGTTTAGATCTTCGAGGTTGTTTAGCGTTTTCGAAGGAAAAATAATGTTTAGGATGCTGTTTACGTCTGGAAGAAGTACTGGGAGAAAATGGACAGCAGTTTAATGAGGATTCCAGATAGAACTGTGTTATTGGTTGAGAGAGCGACCAGCTACAAATTGGCAAGTGTGCTGTTTTAGTAACTGTTGAATACCACGATAGCTTACAAATGTTTCTTCAAGCTCTAAATAATATCAGGTTTTGTTTTCTTGATAGGTGGACAAACATCTGGAAACAGTGGCAGTTGACGGCCTTATTCGTATATTGGATGCAGCTGTCATCAATGGAGATGATGTGTCTGGTCTTTTGTATTCCAAGCGCATGGCAGCGGCCCAAAAGTTTTGTAAAGCACTACAATTGGTTAGCTATTCAAAGAAGTTCCTTGCATTTACAATGACTCCAACTTGTTGTAAATGGTTCTGTTTCCTGTGATTTATTAATCTACTGATCTATTCATTGAAGGTTATCCCTAAGGTGCGAATAGGTTTGGGATTCCACGAGAGATATGTCGTTCCTTATCAGTTGGTAACGGCGGAGTCTTTTACATTTGATCAGCTGCCGCAGGTAAGTCACTAAACCATAATTTCATATGCTTTCTTGTCCTACAAGAGTAGAAACACCTAAGGTTCGTCGGAGGTTTTCGCGCGTGCGTCACTCAGGTGAAGAAGTGCTTGTTATTGAAGAGAATGGATATTTGATAATCTGTGAAGCCCTTCGAGTTGCTCGTCTTCTTAAAGGTAAGAATATCAGAAGAGCAATTAGTATAACACTTCAGTGATGTATCAATTTAAATATCCTAGTGTTTAAGCAGTCTTTAGAATCGTGGAAAATGGGATGGTCATGTAGCAAGTTGCGGAATTACGCCTTCTCTCCTTCTCAACCCACTCTGGGAAGCTTTTTCGAACAACAATGGGAGGAGTAAGTTTGGATCCTGACTCTTTAGTGAATTCAAAAGTGTAACGAGTTTTACGGAGATTTATGTTCGGAATCACTTCCGCGCTTGTCGAGCACTTGTGTGTTCGACTAGATCATCATGTCTCCTATTTCTCGCCTGTGAAAATGGGACTTTGATGTGGCCATTTTCTTATTCGAAGCCTGAAAAATGCCCTGGAATCCCGGGGTTGATGTTGATATTCTAAATGATAGGACCTATTGGTGTACTTGTTTATAGGCATGGACACCGATCCATATTTGTCTTCCACGGTTTCTTCCCCCAATCCCAAGGCTTTTTTAAAACTACGATTTCGTTAGGATTGAAGTCGTGTTATTTCCTAACTTTAAAAAAATTGTATCTTTTCTATAAAATTATATCTTATCTGTTGCAAATTGACTTGTAAGTTGGTTCTTAAACTTTTAGATTCTTACATATCGGATGCTATGGTAATTTTTTACAGTTTTTTGATTAGGGTTTCCTAGAGCCTCCAAGCATTAGAAAGAATAAGACGTAGATTTCGAGTCGTCTTTTCTGAACTGTTATGCCACCAGTTGCTTCCTTCCGTTAGTAAACTTGCAACAATTTGCATTGTTTTCTTTTTTCAGTTCGTATGCAATTCGTTGTGTGCTAACTGGCAAATTACTAATCAGTAACCAAAACGGCTTTCCGGGCGACATATTGCAATCGGATCTTTTGCAGTGACAGAGTAGCGTACAGATTATTGCTAAGTAGTAGGGTACTTCGTCCCTGAAACCGCACAACAGAAAATACGGATTGATAAATAATGGCATCTCATGGTATCTGCTTTGCCATTAGTTGTCAATGTGAATGCGTTCATGAGTACTGGTGCTTGGATGGAAGTCAATACAGATGAACGTAGTGTTCAAGAGCATTTACAAACTTTATCCCTATTAAGGGCTGGATGTTGTTCGTCGTTCTGGGAATGTTCAGTGCCATCAGAACAAGCTCCAGATAATGTTCCTATGCAGTCTATTTGGAGTTGGGAGAACAGTTGTAAGCTTTTCTTTTCTAAAAATTTCAATGACAATATTTTATTTGAAATTACCGTGTTTAGTGGATTCGAACAAAAGTGGACCAAGTGTAGATTCCATACTTTGTATAGTGGCTGGGACGAACCAAGAATGTGGAAAAAACTAGTAGTACTAGCTAGAATTATTCCATTCTGAACTTTTTTGCCAAGTAAAGTGTACTTGCTTGCTTTTATTATCGCCATTTTCATGCCAGTGTTAAACAATGACATGCATGAGATCCGAGCGCCCCGCATTCATTGTTCATTGTCATGGTCGTTTGAAATCCTCTTCACCACAGATATGCCCCACGGCCTGCCTCATAGACCTGGTTTGCAGCGTTGTGAGATTTCCGGAACGGTCGAGAATGCTTTGCATTGGTCCGATCTTTAGACGAGATTGTCGAAATCAGCATGAGTAGTCCTATTTTGACATGACAACATAGCGGGAAATCATTAAAAGAGCACCTGTAATTGCACCACATCTTCTATTTTTATGAGGTTGTCCAACTCGCGACAAGTCTACCGGTATGGTAGCCCCCAAAAAGGGTGATTCCGAATCATGAAAAAACCACTGGAATACTTATTAGTTTAGATAAGTCAACAAATTATAATGAGTTTGAAGATAGATCACATCATTTGTTTGAACATAATACGCTGATGTATTAACAAAGACATCGTCATGTGTACCCAATTAGCTAAGCACCACTTCACTGGTTCACAAAGAATTATACCCAGTTTTGGCATTCCAACATTGGCTTGTCCAAAGCAGATGTATGTCAGGTATTTCTCGTGGAAGGCTATCTATATTTGATAGCTTTAAAAAAAGCTTTTAGATAAGTCCACTTTTCAGCGAGAGGACATTGCTACTGAAGAGAGCATGGAAGGCGAAAAATAAGGCCAGTAAAGAAATGTAGAGGTAGTTTTGCCTGAATAGAGGGATTCGACACCTAGGACTGGTAGGGTTTTTTCCATTATAACTGTAGCCTCAGCTTAACCGGGTTCGCTACCGACTTGGGCTCCCCAGATCAATCCCGCTGACGGGTGATTGGCGATGGCAAAAGATCAATAGAACTAGCGGAGAGACGCGAAACGAAGCCCCCGCATGGTGTGGTGGTGAATGCGTTACTCCCCGGAAAGGACAATAGCGCGTTCGTTCCCCACCGCAGACACCTGCGGTCCGGAGTTTTACAAATATCTCAGTATCATTAAAGTTATATTTCGCAATAACAAGAAGTTTTTATGAAGATGCGTAACGGGTTACTATGAAAGCGGTAATAAACAGTCATTGCAAAGCGTAACGCGATCCTCATATTTAAATGGTAACTGAGAACATCCACATTCTTTAAGTCAAATATAGGCCAAACTAATGAAGTTCGATAACAATAATAATAATCTTCCATAAAAAGGCTCTTTAACAATAAACTGTTTCATCCCATATATTGGTTGTTCCTGGGTGTGCAACTCTCTGTTGGTCGGCCGAGCCAAAGAACTTGGTAACTCTATTCGGAGGCCTCACTTGGAGTAAATTCATCCCATAATAGAGCTCTGCAAACTACTCCTGGGAACATTCTCGCCAGGGGCAGTTATAGTCGGTTATCGAAAGGGGTGAGCATATTGACGAAGGCATGTAAAAGAAGAAAAAAATTACATCAGACGTAAGCACCTGAAAATTTATAACAAGCACGGTGACAAAGTCAACATCGTCCATAAAATTATGTGATGGAAGTTATATGGCAAGCAGGGGTGGGTGGCATACGATTGTAGGAATCGGTGGGCGCGTCGCATGCGAAGGCGATTGGCGACATCGCCGGTACGCGGTAGAATTCGCGACACGGCTTCCCCTCGACGTTGCTGAAACACAAACCACTCCGCCACGATTGCATAACGAGCAACCTCTATATCGAGAAAAAAGTTGACACTACTAGAATGGTGAGGAATTTGTAGATAATGAGGAGATATTCTACATTACAAACACTCGTGCTGGTACGCCAACATGGAGTCGCACAACTTGTAGCTAATCACCAATGGTCACAGCATCCAGAAGGAGAACGCAGAAGTCCGTTCAGTGCTATCATTTCAAACAGACTTGGAAGTGTGAGGAATTAACCACCACTGCTCATTGGTAGTAGTAACCCACTAGGCGACGCTATTTCTCAAAATGTCAAAACTGAACCTTTCAAACACTGGGAAACTAAGAACGTCGTGTTTTAGAAAAAGTACACCTACACGGCATCGATGAATATAGCCTAATCCATCTGCTATCGACCATTTGGGAATTCTCTACTCGGGGAGAGATGAAAGCAGTAATGGAAACTATGGACATTTAAAGTGTTTTTGGTGAGGAAGCAATGCTCCTTCACGAGCTTCAGGGCAGCTACGCGACCAACCTGCAATGGCAGTGTCATAGCTGTTAAGACAAAGGCCTAACAATGAGATACCTCTCGACAAAATTATTTACAGCCATCGCTGACAGCACCACACTGGAATTGGAGCGGAATAACACTGAAGTGCGAGTGGACGACTATCCCAAAAAAAAACAATATTCCTAAATTATACATTCGTTGCACACTGATGATGCGCTGTTAGTTGAAAACAGGGAGAATCCACGCTTTCAAAAATATAAATGCTAAGTAGGAGCAAGTAGTGCAGTGGGAGTGGTCCAATTTAATACGCTGACGGCCAACTTTCCAAGGAGTTGGTTCGACCCAGGACTGGACCCACCGAGTATCTCATCTCTGCGGTCGAAGAATTGCTATCATACCCATCTGCGAACTAATCACTCCTAATCCACGTGGGAACACCGTAGCACGGTTATCTCAGGATTCTAGGGAGGATGTACTCAACCAGCATTCAACGACATTCGTGATGAAGGCGAAAGAAGTCTCAAGCACAAACCAAGACGAAAAATAGAAACGTTAAAACACATTCGTGGACGATGGATGAGAAGAACCACATCTAATGCTGGAAGCTCTGTGATCAAGAAAGTGTGATATATGTGACGTCTGATCATGTAATAATCTCTAATCTGACAGTGATAAAACGCGAAGTAAACTACAAATGGAGAACGACAAAAACTTTTCACTATCATATTCGTCAACATTAGTGACGGGTCTGATTAACGAAGTTATAAGACAGATTGTAAAAGTACAACTAGACTACAGCGAAACATTGCAGGATTTGTCATTCCAAACATCGCCATAGACAAAGGTCAACTAGAGGAGCACCTCATTGTTTAGAATTTAGATTACGTTAAGGTTATTGCGATATTTTCACTCTCAGCAGGTAGAATTACCCACTACAAGTTCATAAATCGTGAGGAAACCTTTACAGCAAGGAAGTGTTGTTGAGAAATCAACAAAATGAACCAAGAATGGCAACGTCTTTAACCGACAGTGTTCATTCCCGAGGAACCAGTTTTTTGGTACAAGAAGACTTTTATCTCAATCATAATGCCTACAAGACATTTCGCAAGCAGTATTTCGCCAACTGCTTGCAGAGAAAGTCTCCAACAATCGAACCACTCTTAAAATTTCAAAAGAGGAGTCTCGAATCCAGCTTGCAAGTCCAGAACCACGTAAATCTTTTGCCTCAGTTGTAAAGAAACTGACCGATTTGATTTCCATTATACTTGAAATCGAAAGCCAAAAGATGGACCAACGTTTAGCAGTAATACAAAAAATATGTTGAAGTCAACTGGAAAAGCTAAAGTTAGTTTAAAACTAACGAGTAATCGAAATGAATGACAGATTGCGGAATATCACTGTGATAACTCCAGTCCATCATATCATATCAAGCTTTAAGCACAGTACACAAGCTCAAAGGTGAACCTCTGAGCAAGCCGGTGATATTTTCGAAGGCACACGTGAAAACAAGCCACTATAGCAACTATATGACAATATATCTTTCTACTTCTGTTCAGCAAACACAAGGTGCTATTTTATTTCTTTATTTACGCACAAGCTGACGTTTCGGCGAATTTCGCCTTTCTCAGAGCCGCTTTCTATGAGTCTTCCACTGAGTATGTCGCGTGAAGACCGACCGACATTACGCCTCCATGTGAATTTAGTGCGACATTACGCCTCCATGTGAATTTAGTGCGGTCGGTCTTCACGCGAAATACTCAGTGGAAGACTCATAGAAAGCGGCTCTGAGAAAGGCGAAATCCGCCGAAACGTCAGCTTGTGCGTAAATAAAGAAATAAAATAGCACCTTGTGTTTGCTGAACAGAAGTAGAAAGATATATTCAATCAATGCCGAGGTTAATAGAAAGTCCGACTTGGGAGTTACTATATGACAATAGTTGTTGAGTAGTAGGCTTCTCCTTGGAGAACGCGAACGAGTAACTGTCGGTCGTCACCATCTAACGGTCGTTTCCCGAAGAAGGATTGATTTTACTCTTGGAATTTTCACAAATAGCACAGCACCTTAACAATAACCCTCACCATTTACAGACGGCTCGCAGGACCTGTTCATTGGGCGACAGCGGGATTCCGGTGATGGTGCCGCAGCCGACTCGAGTCATCATCTCGTCGAACCGTTGCAACTGCGATTTGGCGCGCATCAGACGATACCGTAAACTGCAAACATATATGTGTGGAGGCTTGCGTGGATGAGCTTTACGGCTGTCATAAGTGATGATAAGGAAATGGCAAAGATTTGTTTTAAACTACTTCATGTTAACTTAGTAATCTTAAGAAGAAACTATGGAAATTTCAGAGCTGCGACCATGATCATTCAGCACTCCAGCAGCAAAAAATTTCGACTGATCCCTTGCACTACCATGTTCAACGCAAGGCTCTTCGCTGAAAACATACCATTTCCCATCTCCGACTCAAATATCTATTGATAGTCCTCTATCCTCCTATTCTCTAATAATATCTCCCTCCTTCCCTTCTTTTGGGGCGCATGTAACGCAATGGCTAGAGGCGCCATGCAAAATACATGGGTTCGATTCCGTGCCTACGACCACCAAGCCCTCCAACCCTATGGGTTTGGCAAATTGGTACCAGACTTGTCTGGAGGGACAGCAGCATTGGCTCGGTACATCGGTAAGCCAGCATGAATCATTGTGTAGGCCAGATATACATTGAATCTCCTCTAACGATGCTTAATGAAGTCGAGGGGTATGGCGCATCCATCAAAGATTAATCAACTCCGAGAGTTTATCCTTTTGTTCTTCATCTCCTTTTCGAGTTTTCTATCATTACTTTTCTCTAGATTGTTCAGCTTATATCATTCCTTCATCTTTTTAATAAGATAACGTTCCAGCTGCTTCTCTGTGTTATGGAATGCTCTGGGACTTCGACATGAACTGACACACGTAAACAAATATTTAGCTATTTTTATTCTTGATAATACGCCTTGATATTCACTGGTATTCCACGGATCTCCTTCATAGAAGGATTAAATGTCGGTTAACCCCAAAGGAACCTGCGCATCCAAAGGTGGCGGAAAGTGATTTGATGGCTGACCAAGAGCAGCCTTTGCTTTCCTGAGACGCAGGTGGAACCAGGAGATGGACTCACTATTTCTGCTGCACCGATTCGGCGCATACCCTTTGTGTTTACGATGACGCATTCATGAATGCTTGCATGGGTGTATTCTCGTTTATGCGGATTGTTCGGAAAAAGCCTGAAATCAAGTAAGAGGGAGGTACCTGACAAGCGACCAGGAGTCATCTCCAACAAATAAACTATCCTGTACTCTCGCAAAGACTGGCAAGCTACCCATGAGTATACCCAGTTCCCACGTTCAGAGCTACTAAAAGCTGTATAAAAAACTAAACCCATTTAAATAAACGGGTCTCATTCACCTAACCACAAAAAAGCGCCGATACGGCAGAATTGAGTAGGACGAGTAGGGAAAGGCTGCCGAAATTTCAGGGCCATTCTAGGCTGCCTAAACCGCAAAGGATTAAGGTGACAATCCATATCTACAATTCACGCACACCTGCGCCTGAGTCGTTGACAAAAGACTTGATTATGCAAGTAAGAAGGATAAAGTACGACGTCATCGGAGTGGCTGAAATGGAAAGACGCCGTCCACAACGCCGTCTATGACACCGGAAACGAACTGTTCCTCGAACCACACGACAACAGAGGAGTCGGCAGCGTCGGCGTTCTCGCTAACACGAGTTTGGCCATGAATATCGATTCTTTCGAAAAACCAACAACCCGAATTGTAGGACGTTTGCGATTGAAAAGATGTGAATCAATGCCAGATTTGATAACCTTCGTCGTCTTCGCACCGATATTAAGTTACAAGGAAGACGAAGTTGAAGCATTCTATGTGGACTTGGTGCAGTTCTACAGAGGAGACCACACATTCTTCAAGATCATCGTTGGACATTTTAACGCTCAGACTGGACCCAGAAGAAGGTTTGAAGAGTGTCACATTGGGACCCACGGATTAGAATGGAAAGAACAGGGTGAGCGGCTGTCTGAGTTCATCATGTTGACCAAGACAATCCATGGTAACTCGCAATTCCAGAAGCCCCACCCTCAACGCTGGACGTGGGAGTCTCCCAATGGAGAGTACCATAACGAAATGGACCACATCAATGTGAATCGAAGGTTTTATCTTACCGATGCCGCTGTTGTCCCAAAATTCTACACGGGACCAGACAATCAACTCCATCGTGCAAGATTCCATTTCTCGGGGAAAGGGGAAAAGGCCGCTAGATTCCAAAACCGAAGTCCTAGAGCCACCGCAAACTGGGACTTATTCTATTCAATTCATTAGTCGGCTTTTGGGAAGATGCCGTTGTCGATAACATCGACGAAGTATACGATCGGCTCTATAGCAACTATTCCCAGAATAGTCTCTATTTCTTTCTATATATTTGTATCTTTCTACTACTGTATGTTTCAGTATTAAGGATCAATTATGTTCAATGTTTCAGGCTCAATAGCGATTCAGGTTTGACTTCAGTAGCATACCAACGATGGCTTATCCGAAGGAGGCGTAACCATAGAACAGTTTACTACTTGCTTGCGAAACAACGAAGCTAATGACGTTTGATGTTTCAGGCAGTTAGGTAAAGTCTACTGCGGTCCAGGATCAACAATCCAGATTAACCGCGGTTGCATACCCTCGCGGCTCCCGCAGCCGATATAAGCCAGGTGCCTTCAAAGGCGGAGACATGCCATCACTCACCTTACCCACGATCGGTAGCGCGGATAATCCGCTCCTCACAACCACATCCTCAATCATCCTCAATCACCTCAACTCATTCTTAGTCATAGTCATTCATTCTTATTCAATCACACTCATACACACACACATTCATCCTTCAGTAATCAGCAGATTATTGTATCTCGTTCCTCAGCTTGTCTACGGTGCCATGTCAGTAGTGGCAGGTGTTACCAAATGCGTTCTGTTTGCAACGCCATCGGTGGCATGTACCATTCCTCCCACAATGTATACGCAATGTGT